CACTGGAACCTTTAAGGATGAAATATAGGGTAACTTACAAAACTGTCTGTTGCAAACAGATGTCACCCACGAGGGCTTCCAGCTCCTATTGCCCGTCTTCATAGAACGCAGTTGTAATTTCTCCCTTGGTTAAGGGAATTTTGCAATAACACACAGATTTATTAGGTCCCAAGATTAAAATTCTCTGAGTAAGAATAAAAAATAATTATACTTTAGAACATAGTGCAGTATTCAAATGACTTGAAAGCTGTCACCTCAGCAAAAGTAAGAGAGGGGAGAAAAGGTAAGGATGAGGCTGAGTAACGGTAGACATAAAACGTCTATGAGTTCGAGAGCATAAATGCATGATCAGGCACTTCCAAATCATAAACACATGGAAACAGGAAACCTCCATCTCACAGCAAAATGCCTGAGTGGTTCCATTAATGAGTCAGGGGGACTTCTTCATTTAATCAGACTGCCTTGTGATTACAACCGAGGGCTCTTCGTTAAAATCCCAGCTCTAACACTTACTATCTCTGTGACCTTGGATGAGTTGGATGTAATGTCTCAGTGCCTCAGTTTCTTCATTTCTGAAATGGGGATGATAGCAGTGCCTACCTTACGAGGGCAATTATGAGTGTTCAATTATGTGTTCCATGAGTAAACACATACAAGGAACTCTGAACAGTTCGTTACACATAATACGTATTCAATAAACACGTTAGCTTTTCATTATTCGGTAGTTGCTATTGTATAGAGAAGGAGCGCATAGTATATATTCGTGTATATAGAGGGTGGCATAGTATGTATTCGGCCACTAACCAAGAGGTTGGCGGTTTGAACCCACCAGCCTGCTCCTCGGGAGAAAGACGTGGCAGTCTGCTCCTGTAAAGATTTTCAGCCTTGGAAACCCTATGGGGCAGTTCTGCTCTGTCCTGTAGGGTCGCTGTGAATGGGAATCCACTCAACAGCAGTGGATTTGGTTTCGGTTTACTGTCTGTAGAATGTATTGCAAATGAAAAGAGAACTGCATGGAAACTCTAGGCTTTCCTCACAGGAGGTCTCTAAGCTCACTGACTGTTTTTTTTCATCAGGATTCTGCCCCCTCCCCTTCACAGAAACAGCACTGACTAAGCTCACCTATGACCTTTGTATTCCAAATGCACCGAGTGGTTTTCATTCTCACCTTCCTTGTCCTCTAGGAAACATACAACAAACACTGTGACCTTGAGATTCTCTTTCCTTAGATCTTAGGACTTTTCATTTTCATAATTTTCCCTCAACTTCTCTGGCCACTCCCTCTCTCTTTGCTTTGTCAGTGGATCTTCTTCTCCCTGACCTTCTCCCTAGAACTGAGGATCTCATTGCTTCCTGGTCTCTAGTCTTGTCCCAGGCAAATTTACCCATTTCCATGGTTTCATTACCAATTACATGTTGATTAATGGAAAATGTTGGTCTGTATCTGAGCTCCAGACCCATGTACTTAGACACGCTTTACATATTTACTTGAACGTCTCAAAAGCACTTCAAACTCAACATGTCCAAAAACTGATTTATGATTTCCTCCCTCCCTCCCAAATCCAGTGTCTCCCCCAGTATCCCCCATCTTGGCAAGGGGACCACCATTCATCTCTCACACAGGCTCCTACAATAGCCTTCCACCCACTCTGGCTTCTTCCATTCCTTCCCCTCTCCCCCATCCCTCCCATCCCTTCTCTGTAACAGCCAGAGTGGTGCCTTTAAATTGTCAATCTAATCACTCCCTACTCAAAATCCTTCACTGTTTCCCTAGTGGTTATAGGATCTTGAACATGGCTTAGAAGGCACAGCATTAATTGGCTCCTTCCTATGTCTCCTGTCTACCCTTTTCTGCTGGTTCTCTAGCCACTTTGGCCTTTACTGTCCTTCCTTCGGAGCCTCCAACAGGCCAAGCTCTTCCATGTCCTCTGCTTGAAACTCTCGCCATTCTTCTCCCTTACCTGGCTGATTCCCATTCATCCGCCAACTATCAGTTCAAGGGTCACTTCCTCAGAGAAGCTGTTTTTGACCCAAAACTAGGTCATGTGCCCTATCATAAGCTCTCATAACATCCTGAGTACTTATACTATTAACATTATACATTCATTTGTTATTTTTCAAAATCTAATATCTGTCTCTTCCAGCAGACTGTCAGGTTCAACAGGGCAAGAGATCATGTCTGTTGGTCCCACCACTTTACTCCTAATACTTCCCACACAGAAAGGGCATTCTAATACTTGTTAAATGAACCCCTAAGTTTTAAGCCTTTTAAGGCATTCTTCATGATCCTCCTCTTCCTCTACAACAAGACAGAGTCATATCTTCAACACTATGGCTGCGCATAACAAGTCCCTCTGGTGATCCTGACCACATCAGATTTCCCGGAGCTGGTCACAAGGGGAGAGAAACTAACAAAGCAAATCGGGTTCCATGAAGACTACCTATGGAAAACTGGCACTCAAATGGCCAATACATGATTTGTAACAAATGGAATTTGTTTGAGTCATCTAAACGATATTCATCATCCTCCTTTAGAGGATTCTTCCACTCTCATTTATTTATTTATTCAACAAAATTACGAACTGTTAAATTCCAGACATTGGGGCCACAGTCTGGGAGGAATACTGATATGTGACAGATACACAATAAATACAACAGAGAAGGAGTGCTGCGCTTGTGTTTGGAGGAGAAGACATGCTGAGGATAAGAGGGGAAGGTGATCTTAGAGATGGCTGATGTGAGTCGGTAGGGATAGCCATAAAAATTCCAGGCAAAGTTAGGAACTCTAGAAGCTCCCCAAATACCAACTATTATTAAAAACACCTTAGGCTGAGAAGACCGAAGAAGAATTGATGCCTTTGAATTATGGTGTTGGCGAAGAATATTGAATATACCACGGACTGCCAAAAGAACAAACAAATCTGTCTTGGAAGAAGTATAGCCAGAATGCTCCTTAGAAGCAAGGATAGCGAGATTTTGTCTCATGTACTTTGGACATGTTATCAGGAGGCGCCAGCGCTCAGCTGTTGTATGATAGCATGCCCACTGCCATCTGGCACGTGGGTCGAAACTTTAACTCTGCATATGCCTGTAAATCATTCATCTCCTTGGTCGTCGACATCTTCCCTTTCATCCCATGCCTGCCCCACCTGAGTTTTGAGGTGGCTTGTGACAGCGGAAGCACCAGTGGTGCAAGGTTATTGTTGTCGTTAGGTTATTAGGGGTCAATGTTGCGGGAAGGCAGGAGTGGGTTGAGGAGTTTGAGCCTGAAGAGCGAAACAGTTGTGACTGCATAAGTAGAAGCCTAGTAGTTGCACAGTCCTCAGGGCCCAGAGTCACTGGCTTGGTGGGAAGAAAACAGAAAGACAAAAAGAAGAAACAGCCTCTGTAAGTTCATACCGCATCATGGGTATCATACTCCAGAGCTCTTTTTGGAAAATAAATAAATACATAAAGTTATAAACTCTTGGCTGGAGCATTCACTTTTATTTTAATTGAATTTTACTTTACCTAAATAAACGGTATCTTTTGGGTGTGGTTATTACTCAATCTCTTATTCGAAGTTCTAGCCCTGCTTGGAGAATGGAAACGTCAAATGGCAGATTTCTTCTATGTCATTAGAAGGGCCAAGGAAGGAGAAGACAGAGCAGGATTTTTCTAAATATCAGCCCCCAAAAGGGGTTTGATGCGCTCTGGTACGGTCATTTTGCAGACAAAACAACGTTATCAATTCAAAGAAGATGGCTCAAAAATGGAAGATTTGGAGCCCTAACATGAAAGAATGTTGAAAGAAAAAACAGATCATATTGTATCAGCATCTTAACACTATCTGTTGTTTAATCTGAAGCAAAAGCCTAGAAGAGAGATGATACAGGTATAAAACACAATATGGATTTATTTAATGTGCACTTAAAATGCCAGAAATGAAGCTACCTACTTTGACAATTGTTTTCTACGTAAATCTCCGCCAGAAAAAAAAAAAAATCATTATGGATTTAACAAATCAAACTTCAATTACTGTGGTCAACTTGAGAGTTAAAAGATTTAACAAAATAATGCTTTCCAGGAAAAGAAAAAAAGATCCTGCCTTTGAGAAAAGCTTGATTGTTAATGTGAAATTTTAAACCAAATAATTATATTACTGTAATTCACTACCAACTCAAGAAAAAGTGTATGGGATGTTCAAAAATAAGGAACATATTAAAATAAAGTTGCTTTTTTTTTAAAAAAAATCTTTACAGGGAATTGCCACACCATCTGGTCTAATTTGTTTTGGTGTTTTGCCCAGTATAATATCAACTTTCTGAGAAATGTAAATTATTAGAAAAATATGAGTGAAGAAGAAATATGGGTTAAAGACAACACTCTGATTATAAGTTTGAATACCCAGGAATACTCAGAAACACACCAGTATGGCAGAACAGCCCAACCCAAGTCAATCTGGGTATGAGACTGGCTCATGAAGGGAATCCAGGTAAGAGATGCCAATGATGAAAACGGCAGGCATACAGAGAGTAATAGGGAAAACGATAAAATGCAAAACACAGAAACACATTTTCAGACACTGAGCTTTCTCTCCTTGCCAAAGTGCTTCTGATTCTAATGAAGTTTAGGAGAAAAATAACAAGGCAGCCCCTGGGCAACTCACAAAGGACAGACCATTAAAGGATGCTTTTAAACATGAGGTGATAAGGGGGGCCTCCAAATGTGAACACAGCCATATTTTTCATCTAAATTCTGTTCTCTGTCTTCCAACTGATCACTTTAATACAGTGTCACCTCGGCCTGTGCGAAGACCCCATCATGGGCTGTGGCTCAACTGGGTGTCTCCAAGATTTCTAAAAGAAGCATTGTTTTGTAAAGCGTCACTTAGGCAACTTACGTGATTACCCTCAGAAAAGGTAAACATCAAGCAACGAATGATGGTTTACGTTTATTATGTATTCACATGTGAAACAGATATGCCCAACGAGTTGATAAGTCAAAAAGAAAATCCTTACCCGAATTATTTCTTCAACACAGCTGTTGCTTTCTCCAGCTCTACTCTCCTGCAAGCAAAGAAAAAACAAATTAAGCCTGATAGGTAGATTTATGGTCACAGAAAGAATAGAGAGAGACGGCAGTAGGTGAGCTTCCAAGTTAGAGCGGAACAAGTGGTGGAGTTCTAGACTGATGGAATGCTGAACGGGGACTTCGTGTAACCTCCTCCCTTAATGGAATCTGAGGACTTTGGCTCACTGCTGGGACAGTCTGGGATCAGGCTCCCACTGTGGCTGTCATTGTGGCCACTGCCGTCCTTTGGAGGGGTCAGCCTCAACCCGCACACGCTCCAGATGCTCTGCTCTGGGGCCTCCCAGCCACGCCGACTCGGAGCACAGATCGTGGCCTGCAGGTAGGAGTTCCATCAAAGTATGGCGACTGTGGCCTCCGCTGCAAAAGTGGCCCCAGCCTCACATTCCAGTTCACCCACAGAAGATGTGCAATGGGCCCGAAGAGCAAAACAGGTGTGACTGCTTAAGCAAACGCCTGGTGATTCCACCGTCCTCAAAGCCTAGATTCACTGGTTTGGTGGGAAGAAAACAGAAAGAGAAAAAGAAGAAACAGCCTCTGAAAGTTCATACAGCATCCTGGGTGTCATACTCCAGAGCCATTTGCTCCGTCACCCACACTGCAATCCACTTCTGTGCAGATGTAAAGGGGCATAGAGGTTCGGTGGCTTCAGGCTGCAGCCCGCTCGGGGGAGCATTTTAAGTTCCAGAGATGCTATTTCGTTATTGCTTGTTATGTAGCCCAGAGCTCAGGGGGTGGTTTTGTGCGGACACAAAAGCAGTGTTTGCACGCGAAAGTTTCTATCTGTGGTCCCCCAAAGAGAACTTTTCTTGGCCCTATAATTCAAGGACGTTGACCACAACTCAGTGTGACATGCCAGCCTGAGGCTTCCTTCACCATCTCTTCTCCCAGCCAACGTTCCTTCCCTCCTCATAATTCCCCCATAACCAGGAATGCTCTCTGCGCCTTTCCCTGCCTTCCTAGCTAATCCCAAGTCATCCTTCAGATCACAACTTGAGCATCGCTTCCTTGGAGCAGCCTTCCTTGGCCCTGCAGTACTCTCTCCCGGCGCCCCTTACTTCTCCAAGGCACTCACCACAACTGTAATTCAATAATTAACTCTTCAACAATATCTCCTCCCTCTAGAACATTCACTCCATAAATTCAAAAGCTCTGTGTCGTTCAGCACTGTGCTGGGCACAGTATCGAGTGTGTGCGATAAATACTTGTTGGTGTATAACGTATGAAGAAATGAATGAGACCACTGCCTGTACTTCTCACCAATGGGAAGCCTGGCAGAATCCGCTCTGGGGCTTTTAAATGGTAAAAGGCTGTACCCTCCCCTGCTTCAGTTTATGTCACCGCTATTGCTCCTTTTCCAGCTAGGAGAACATTCTGTTTGAAATATTCTACAGGATGATGGAAGGAATGTGAGCTCTGAAAAGGTCCCACACGTGCTGGACACTGTCCCACACCTAGAAATAGGGGATTTGTCCGAGGCTCCCTACTGGGGCCCAGAAAATGTACAGGACTTGTTATTTTTACATAATAACAGAACCTAGACCAAAACACAGGTCTCAGTCCTGTACTTCTTCTGTCCTAGAAGCTTTCCCCAATCCCAACGGCTATGCTTGAGATATAGCCACTCATTCAGCCAACATGAGCTTATCTGTTTGTCAAAGGTATTTCGTTACTAGGGTTTCTGTAAGTTTTATATAATTTGGGAACTTGTGGGGGGGGGGAGATAAAATCCACATAAAATTTACTATTTTAAAGTGTGTAATTAGCGACATTAAGTACGTGTACAATGTTCTGCAAACATCACCACTACTTATTTATTCCAGACATTTTTCATCACCCCAAATGGAAATCATGTGCCCATTAAGCAGTCATTCTTCCCTCCCCCTACCTGTGGCAACCACTGATCAGCCTTCTGTCTCTATGGATCTGTCTCTTCTGGATATTTACATAAATGACGTCATACAGTAGGCCGTGTTTTGTGTCTGGCCTCTTTCACTTAGCATAACGTTTCCATGTGGTAGCATGTCTCAGTACTTCACTCCTTTATACGGCTAAATAATATTTCCTTGTATGGATATACCACTTTTTGCTTATCCACTCATTGGCTGAGGGACATCTGGGTTGTTTCCATCTTTGGCTATTGTGATAGTGCTTCCATGAAGCATACAAGTTTTTGTTTGAACACCTGTTTTCAATTCTTTTGGGTCTATGCCTGGGAGTAGAATTGTGGAGTTACACGGTAATTCTGTTTTTAACTTGTGGAGGAACTGCCAAATTGTTTTCCATAGCGGCTGACCCATTTTTACATTCCCATCAGTAATGCACGAAGGTTCTAATTTCTCCACATCCTCACCAACACTTGTTTTTGTGGCCATTCCGTGGGTGTGAAGTGGTATGACACTGTGGTTTGATTTGCGTTTCCCCATGGAATCGACTCCATGGCGATGGGTTTGGTCTGTTTTGTTTTCGTACTAATGGCACGAGCATCTTTTCATGTGCTCGTTCGCCATTTGTATACCTTCTTTGGAGAAACATCTATTCAAATCCTTTGCCCATTTTTAAGCTGGTTTGTTTGACTTTTGGTGTTGTTAAGTTGTAAGAGTTTTTGACACATTCAGGATACTAGACCCTCATCAGATATACGGTTTGCAAACGTTTTCTTCCATTTTGTGGGTAATCTTTTCACTTTCTTGATAGTGTCCTTTTATGGACAAAACTTTTTAATTTTGATGATTGAAGTCCGACTTATCTATTATTTTTGTTGCTTGTGCTTTTGGTGTCAGATCTAAGAAACCATGGCCAAATTCAAGCTCATAAAGATTTACTCTTACGCTTTCTTCTAAAAATTTTTTAGTTCTTCTCTCTTATATTTAGGTCTTTGGTCCAACAGTTTGGGAACTCTTAAGTGAAGTTTATTTTCTTATCAATTATTCAGTAACTTATAGTTAAAACAAGAATGTTATTTTTGTGTAATTGATTCCATTCTAGTCTCATTATTAAAAGATCAATAACAAAAAGCATTAGGCATGGTCACTGTTGCTAATAGTATATGAACACAGTATACGTGTCTATCCTTATAAATCAGGAAAAAGAGTGTTAAATATCAGGATCAGGAGATACAAATGCTTTTACTAATATTTCATCACCCTTTTTCAGACACTCATCCCTCCTCCTGTTTTCCTAACAGATTCCCTAGTTTGGCGACACACAGGTTATACACCCTCACTCCCATTCCCAAGGCCTTATTTCAGGATTGCTCTGGAAACTTCACCATGCTGACACTCCAATCCAACTGGATCAGAGAGCAGACAGCTCTTCCGGAACCTGCCCAAAACCTGCACCCTTTCCAGGGCAGCACGGAACCATCACAAGGGCCGTATGATAAAGTCTTGGTCAGCCCAGGGTTTGATGATCCCTTGGTATGATCATCTTCAGCATTCAGCATTCAGCAGAATGCGTAGTTTCAACTGGAAAATATATCTTCACACCTACAACCATTTCTTTTACCCTACTTCCAAGTCCCAACCCATTCCTACTGTGTAACATGCTGGCAGAACAAGTGCTAAACTCTTAATGTACTTTC